CCGGGCATATTCTACAGAATATTAGTTCAAACTGTTTCCCTTCCACAAATTTGGAGGCAATTATACTCTCACAAATATGTTTGCAGTTGGATGCATTTGCAATCAGAAAACGCTTGTTGTAAAGCAGGAGTGGGAAAGTGCCCACAGGTCACATAAGGTCAAAAATATTTTTGTTTCAAAATGCCCCCCAAATGTCCTCATGGCTGGTCATTTTGCCACTTCTCCCCCAGACCAATTTAGGCACAGGAGAAGCCATTTTTAAAAAACAGGAAGTGAACACATTCTGACTTCAACTCACTTCCTGTTGATTAAAAAGGCCTGTCCTGAGGTTAGAACAGTATTGCTTCCTAGCTACTGAGGAAAGCAGCAAAATATTGGCTTCAATTATTCTATTATACAAAGGTAGGTTACACCCAGGGGAAAATCTAAGAAGAATGCAGCAGCACACTGAATTGGATAATTATGCTGACTTTTTTTCTCTAAGGAAATTCCAAGAAAAAGTTTTATACCTTAAAATATCAGTTTGAGTTTAATACTTGCTTGTTGTGTTGATACATAATTCACCTGTTACCAACAGAACCTTAATGTGATACACATTTCAGCTGACTTTGATCTCTCTGAGGAGAGGATGCTGTAGTATCCAGATATTTTGATTGGGACAGTAAATGAAATGGAAAACATACAGTGGATCCTTACCAAAAACAAGGATGAACACCAGGAATGCTTACAGATTTCTCACTAATGAAATACATCTCCTTCCCAAATGAAATATGCAGAAGGAGGCTCACAGACTTTAACACAACAGCTTCCACAATCCTGAAGGTAATACAACCCAAAAGCACAAATTTCTAACAAAAGTACAGGATGAGTCCCCCTTATCCAAAATGCTTGGGACCAAAAGTGTTTTGGATTTTGGATTTTTTATTTTTATTTTGGGATACTTGTATTTTTATATACATAATGAGATATTTTGGAACTGGCACCCAAGTCTAAACACAAAATTCATTTATAGCTGCATCCACACTGCAGAAATAATCCAGTTCGATACCACTTTAACTGCCAAGGCTCAATAGCAATAGTGTGGGCGTTTCTATACTGCTTCATAGTGAACTTAAGCACCCTCTAAGTCAGGGGTAGGCAACCTAAGGCCTCAGGGGGCCGGATGCGGCCCCCCAAGGCCTTTGGACCAGTCCTGCCGCTGCCGCCGCCGCCCGCCTTGATGATATTGATTATTGTTGTTATTACTTGTTCTTGGGGTTTTCTTGGCAAAATCTCCACAGGGGTTTTGCCATGGCTTTTCTGGGGCTGACAAAGTGTGCATGCATATTTTTATTTTATTTTATTTTATTTTTAAAAAAATATTTATTTATTTATTCATTAATTTTGATGCTTCGGCCCCCCAATTGTCTGAGGGCATTTAACCAGTATCCCACCAGGGCTTTCAATGCTATGGAATTCTGGTAATTGTAGTTCTGAGAAACATTTAGCTTTCTCTGTCAGAGTCCTGGTGTCACAACAAACTACAATTCCCAGAATTCCACAGCATTTATTTATGGCAGTTAATGTGGTGTCAAACTGGATTATTTGTGCAGTCAAGTGCAGCATATGTTCCATATACCTCTTATACACACAGCCTGAATGTAATTTTATACATAATATTTTAAAATAATTTTGTCCATGAAACAAAGTTTGTCTACAATGAACCATCAGAAAACAAAGGTGAAAGAAGTTTTGGTTTTTGAGTATTTCAAATTTTAGAATTTCAGAAAAGGGAGACTCAACATGCAGCTGAAGTTTAAACTTTGTTGTTATGTTTCTTGAAGTAGACTCCCAACTTATGGCAATCCTATCATAGGGTTTTCTTGGCAAGACTTATTCAGAGGAAGTCTGGCATTGCCTTTCTCCAAGGATGAAAGAGTGTGATTTATCAAAGGCCACCCAGTGGGTTTTCATGGCAGAGTAGGAATTCAAACCATGGTCTTCCAGAGACCTAGTCTAATACTGAAACCACTGCACCATGCTGGCTTCACGTGACATCTAAACTGTCTATTACTGTAACATTCAAACAAGGAACTTATACTGATGTCTAAACTATCTATGACTGTATGACTCAAACAAAGAACTTATACTGGATTAAAAAATGAGCTAATACTAGCTAATTCAAAATGCAGCAACAATTCTTCCCCATTTTGAAAGATATCATGACTATATAGATCATAAGCACAAAACTAAAACTCTCCAGACTTTTCTCCTCAAAGGGGAGAAATTTCATAAGCTAGGAGCAAGGTTCGCTTGTTAATTAAATTAAAAACACATCAAAGGGAAAGCTGCAGAGTTACATGAGCCCGAAAGCATCCTCAATATACCTAAGGACACAGAAACCTTGCTAAAATACACGAGTTCCCTTTGCAATTCACCAACATAAGCATTCACCCCAGAGGTTGACAAATACAGGCTCCTGCACTGAGATGTGCTCTCATACCCTGTGGGGGACTGCTTCATGCTTGGAAAGCTACATAAAAAAACCTGACAGAAAGTCCTTATTTTATTTCAGACAATCTGAGAGTACATCATACGTAAAGCTACAATGAACCACAAAGGTGTTTATTCAGTCAAGACTCTGAGTCACAAACTGACACAGCACTGTCAAACCAGACCATCTCTGGCAACCCGGGTTTTTACTCCAATGATACAACTTCTATCATGGACTTTCCTAGACCAACGATCTGCCTAAAAGGGAAGTTACTAGTGCTTTCTGGCATCACATCCACCCACTATGTGGTCCTGATAACTGCAGATTTTGAGGGAGAGCTCCATTGCTGTCTGCCACACCAGTTGGAGAAATCCTTCAATGTATCTATACTTAGTTGGACTCGCACCTTTTGCCTCTGGTTCCACCTATCCCATTACAATGGAAGCAATGTTCGATGGCAAAGCAGTCATCAATAAAATTAAAAGATATTTGCTTTTCACAGGTTGTAGTTTATTTAATGTGCATTGGTGATGTACACACACACACACACAC